GTTCGTTTGGAGTTCACAAAACCGTTACGAAAACCATATGAACATGAACTAACTACGTAGTGATCCGAGGTTCTGCGATCTTCATCTTAAAACAATGTCAAGAACCAGTTCTACCGTCTGAATTGAGTCTCATATTCCACTACCATTGCTGGAAGCATGACGCACACCTTAAAAAAAAGTTCGGGCTCAAACCTACTTAAGAAGCCCTTACTGTGGAAAGAAGTGCCTAGCGTGAGTGCGCAGAACGCGCCACCTTTCTGCAACAAAAAGAGTTACTAAGATGCTAGACGCTAAGGACTTGGGCAGACTCCACCAAGTTTGTCGTGCCCCGCCCACCGTTCCTATCGTGTCCGCTGTTTGATCTGCAATGTTGATCTCTTCTCGACTTCTCTACCTCTCTCCGCGCTCACACTATCTCTTATCTCAACGCCTTCCCTTTAAATTTCTCCGAAGCGTAGAACAAAAAGCTCTCTTTTCTTGTATATTTCACGATTTTCCCCTTTTTCACCACTGACGGTCCACCTCCCGTCCCTATTTTCACATTTGAGTAGGATCACCCCATCAATTGATCCTGACTGAAATGTTCTCTGTTCTTTCACTCACAAACATTCACAATAACTCGCGGAATCAATCCGCTCCCCTCAACCCGGAATTTCCCTTTTTTTGTAATTGGTTAGTCAGCTTCGTATATCATGTTGTATTGATTCACTCTTTTATGTTAGAACGTAATGTATGGATGATGTTATAGACCTGAAGAAGGGCTTACGGCCCGAAACGTCGTCAAATAAAGCCTTTTGGAAGAGTTTCATTTCAATCAACAACAAAGAAGTCTCGTGAAACAATGAAGCTCAGGAACCCTATGATCTTTAATCCAGTCCTGATTATTGCCCTCAAGAGAGTATAGAGAGATTTAGAATTTCCTGCTGAGTTTTGAGAAACTGTGAAATACTCAAACTCACGTGATTGTAAATCAGTTCCGAGTAAATTGGGAAGTTGGCGGAGGTGGCGTAGTGGTAAGGTGGTGCCGTTTACCACACACATGACCCAGGGGCCTGATCTTGAATCAAACTGGGACAGCTAGACAGAAGATTTGCACAGGTGGGCATCAAATGGTTCCTCATGCAAAAACGCTGCACATCGGACGTCAGGCATTGCAGTTCAAAACCATCTCAGGACTAGAATGATATCACAAGAGCTGGTACTGGGCTACCATCAGCTTGAAGTTCGTTCTCCTTCCTGGAAATGAGCTTCGTTCCAGGTGCAACTGAATTCACTGCTTTTGCTTTACGAAGCCACAATCCAAAAGTAAGATTATTATGGGGAATGAAAAGAGTGGCGCATTCTGGAAAGGGCCGACCAACTTCAGCTGCATCACCCTCCCACTGGACACTATAGGGCCCAGCATTTCCCCCTTCAATAGCGTATAATTTTGATAGCGGCGTTCTCAAGCAACGAAATCGTCGGACGAGTCCCTTGACATCATCACAAAGCTGCCCATTCCTAGTATAAAGAGATGCTTGAATAGCAAATGTCGTTAAGAATCAAATTCGCATTCATTTATTAGAAGGAGGCCGAGAGCTGGAACAGGGGGGAGAGACCATAATTCACATGAGGGATACAAACCCCAAAAGGCCAATCGAGCCCTCTACACTTGAGAGGCTCATCCCCTAAACAAAACCAACGCCTAAATGTGTTCTTCAGTCGTCAATAACTTTCGTTCTTACAAAAGAATGGACAAATGGATTCCAATTTTTTAAAGTGGAAGTGTAGGTGACATGTGCTTTTGTTTTTAGCGACCGGAACAGGTTTTCAGTTCAGAACAGGTGCTAGAAGATCAAAACGGGCACTCCTATACAGTACCGCCTTCCACGTGACTGGGTTGCCTCTATAAGTTAGCTATAAGGTAGGGTAATGCCTAAGCAGGGTGACGTCAGGCGCACATTGCCGTTGCGTCGATTTCTCTCTTCAGGAAAAGACGTTACATCTTATCGCTAGTGAATATCATTAAAATTCATCATTCTCCTAGAAAACTCCGCTATTCATCATCGTCGATCACCTGCGCGAGCGGGTTCACCTACGTCAGCTCGTCTTAGCGACCCCGTACATAGACCGACAGACTCAAATTTGTGTGTTCTTATTTATATGTCATTTCATATCTATCTGTTTCATTGAAATTCTGCGAGAAAAAAGCATGCATCTCTTTGATTATTGTTTTATTTGTTCTCTGGGTTTTGACCGCAGTTCGCATTCGAATGTTGCACAAGAATGCTGGGTTATGAACAAAGGCTTTCGCCCTAGGCGGACTCAAACTCGCACCTCTCAGGCCGATGTCATAGTTTGCGAATCGAGCGATTCGCTAGCGAATCGCTGGATCCGAGCGTTGCGCCAGCGAATCGAACGTTGCACCAGCGAATCGACGATGCACCAGCGAGTCGAACGATGTACCAGCGACTCGACACTGAAAGTGGCGGGACCCAACGTTTAAAGGAAGTCCACTTCAAAGGACCACACTGTTTGAAAGTGGCGGGCCTTCCTTAAACGTTGGGTCCCGCCACTTTCAAACAGTGTTGAGTCGCTGGTACATAGTTCGACTCGCTGGTGCATCGGTCGATTCGCTGGCGCAAAGTTCGATTCGCTGGTGCAACGCTCGGATCCAGCGTGCTCATGAATCGCTCGATAGTTCCATCGACACTGCCCTCCCACTCACTTGATGCACTTGATTAAAAGACCGGTGAACGAAGCACGAAAATAGTGGTGACACCTTAAATCAGTGCAAGGAAAACAGTGAAGAACCGACTTGCCATCTTTCTCCACATACGGATATTCCATTCCCCCCGTCCCCTCTCAACCATCTCTCTTTTAACAACCAACTTATAAAGCCCTAACAGGCAACGCTAACATAAAATTTTATCTATATAAAGATCTTTTTAATAACTTCATTACGTTCGTACTACTATGCTAGTAGGAGACGACGAATATAGGTTCCCTCGTTCATTAGATTTGTGTAGCTGCGGTCTCTGGATCCAACCTCAGCGTAAAATCAGTAAACAGAATCGCACTATATATTGGATTGTTTGAGGGACCTGCAAAAGCATCTCGTTCTCCGTACATTAAAGTTCAGCCCAGTATCAGATATATGTATACAGAGAAGTCACACTTTCATTTTCACATCAGAAATTCTAGATCAGGGTTGAACAATGCAAAAATTGACCTACACACTAGCCGCCGGACCCACCCCAAAAGTAACGGAACATCCCTCGACAGTCAAGAAGTCCTTTTTTTTTCAGCTTCTTGGCGTTTTACGTTAAGACCGCAGTCTAACCGTGGCCTGGTATTCAATATAGCAAAAGGCTGCCGAAAATAAACTGTTTCGGGACTGTTGATATTTCTTGTGTCGCTGCTTCACAAAATCGCAAAACTAAACAAATCGAGGTCGATGAGAACATTCGGGTTTCAGTCCATGTACACCGATCAAAGTTCTCAACTAATCGCATCAAGTATTTTGGCAAAGTTCCCTTCAAATAGGTCTCTACTGTTGTTTGGTCACTTTTTAGGATGAGCCACGCACTCGACTAGCATTATCAGTCGTAGTGACATTTTAATGCAATTTAGCATATAAAATGACCCAAGAGGACCAATCTACTTATAAGTCGGTGCTATTGTCATCCAAAAGCCACCTGGTGCAAAGAGCCTGATCGTGGTGACATAGAAGGCTTGATAGGCCTGAATGGGACTTGAGCCGGGATTTGCCCGGAACCATGCGCTTCCCCAGCCACTTTTTGCTACACCACCTCCTCCTGGAAGCCCTCGCTAGGTTTTTAGGTATAAGATGGCGGCATGTAGACAAGATGAAAGCTGAAGACCGAGTGAACGATCCCAGAGGAATCAAAGGTTTAGGAGGCCCACACAAATTTTGATCTGAGGTTTTACCCCGGCACCATGCACGAGTGAAGTGGCGCCACTTGCCACTACACCTCCCCCGCCCCACTCAAAATATATCCCTTTCAGTAACTCTATTTTGAGCATCAAAAAAGGTTCCCAACCGAACAATACTACATCTGAGGGGTTGGTTATGTACATTCGATAGTTAGCATGGGAACAAGTTCGACAACACGAGAAATCCCACTCAGCCTTTTGTTTACCTACGGGATAGTTGCGTTGTAATTGTTGAGCTATGCAGACAGCAGACAGACGTGTTCGGCTGATTGCCGATTGATTTGTGGTCGCAACTATTCTCTCTCTCCTACTGCCATCGCATGCAGCCCTTGCAATGTCCGTCGGCAATTCGCAAGGTCATTATGCAGTGCAATCGGTTTTTGTTCTATCCCGCTATACTTCCTCGTTTTCCACGAATATCTGTTTCTCGCAGTGTGTCTTTCATATTAGCAGACGGTGCAATGCTAGTCGGATGGGCACGTTGATTTTTCGAATACGGTAGGAGCGAAATGTGTGTAGGGGCTGGTGTCCAATGCTATGTCCTACCGAGACGCTATGCTATGGGATCCATAATCACTTTCTCTCTGTTGCTTCTACCCCTGATGGTATTTCCTGCTTGAACGTTCGAATATACCCTACCGATCGGTGGACTAAACTTCTGAGAGAGGGAAAGGCTCTCTTCTATCAAGGCTCAGTCCATCGATTCTCATTAGGTCATAGCAGTAGGCTCCTCCCCACGTACATTTCGCGTCTACCGTATTCAAAAACTCGACGTGCCCATCGGACTAGAATTGCACCGAGTTCTGTCACGAACGACAACTCGTCGAATCCCAGCAACACCGCGCCAATTTCTTGTTCAAATAGCGCGCTATAGTCAAATTGTGGAATGCAGACTCTGTAATGTTCTGCTTTGAGAACCTGATCTGTCTTGAAGTCGTGCAAGTCTATTCTTTGGTTTCTGTTATCAGTGAACTTTTGCGCTTTTGCTCCCGAAAGCGTCACGTCACGTCAATTCATCACTTTATCACCAATCAACTTCTTCAAACGCATAAATCTTGTTGCAGATGTCGGACGGCGGCGTTCTGACATCGCCTGAAGTTCTATATACGAATGCCGTTACCCCGACATCATCTGACGACACATCAACGAAAAGAATGGTGGCCCATTCTAGCGAGCATGGATTTTCAGGTGGGTTTCTTTCGTTCAAGAAGCTAGTAGAATTAATCAAGGATTAGTATTTAAGCCCTTGCACTTCCCTAAATACTCAGGGATTCGTTAGAGAATCTTGGCTTTTACTAGAAAGGTGGCGTTCAG